TAATACATAAATTAGGGGACAAATTCAAATAAAAGTGACATACAATTACATAAACACTCAATTTTTAAAATTATTACGTTGCTCTTAAAAATGCTCTATTAATGCTTTACGGAGTTCAAAATGAGCATTTTTGTCCTTAATTTTTTTATGTCTAGCTAAAAATTGTTTAAACTGAAAATTTTCATCTACCACCATTTCTGTAGTTGGAGTTGGAGCCTCTACGGCATCTTGAATTGGTGCATTGAGATCACATTCATCCTCAATTATCATGTTGTGCAGTATAATACATGTAGTCATTATATCATGTAGCATTTCTTTTCTTCAAAAACGTGACAGTCCTGCAATAATTGCAAGATGTGATTGCAAAACTCCGAATGCACGTTCAACATCTTTTCAGCACGATTCTTGTTTCATCGCGAAATATTTCTTCTTTTAGGAATAAGGATCACGAATAATTTAAATAGTTGTAGACCATTTAGGATATATACCATCAACTAAGTAATAACCCATATCGTATTCTTTTCCTTGAATAACATAATGGGCGGGAGGCGCAATACCGCTAGCAAGATTGGAAAATAAATGTGATGACTCTAAAACATTAATATCGTTATTGGTGCCAGGCAAACCAAAATAAGCATGTCATAACCAAAGGTCATAATCAGCAACAACTTCAAGAATAATTGTTGGTGATCCACTACGACCTGCGTATTGCCCAACCCATGCCGTTGGACAATTTTTTCATTTCCAGTGCATGCAATCTAGACTACCTAACATTCTTGGGAAACCACACTGCTCACCAATGCGTAGAAGCCTCGCAACATCATTAGGTGTTGGTGATCTTAAATATCGCTCACCAAAAACCTCTACAGTAGAAACTATTAGTGATCCAAATGTTCGTGATTACCTGCAACGAGAACAACATCGAATACTTGAAAAAAGAAATCGACAATTACAACCGCAGTCACAACCACAATCGCAACAATTCTCGGAATCATATCCTAATTTTTTTCTGAATAGTGTTAAATCTGGAAACGACCTACCGGGTTTCTAAATTATTGTTGTGATCAATTAATTATTAAGTTATGTATTGTATTTTATCTTGTATTTAAATTATTATGTTATGTATTATATTGTATTGTTATCTTGTATTTAAATTATTATGTTATATATTGTATTGTTATCTTGTATGTAAATTATCATATCATGTATTGTATTTTTAAATTAAATTTTTTCATCTTGCCATTTTAATTTTACGTATTCTTTATAATGAAAATTAATAATAAAATAAAATTTTATTATTCACGAAAATTAGAAAAAAAAATAAAATACTATTAATTTGAAATTAAAATAGTATATATTAAATAATATTTTTAAAAATATTATATTACATTTAAAAAAGAATAATGAATATTAGATATTTAATTAATGGAATTATATGTAAAATAATATGTTAATTAGAAAGTAATAGAAATAATAATAAAATAATAAAAAAGTGAAATAGAGAGTGTGAATAGTAGTTCTCCAAATTTGGAGAACTCCTATTCAACTTTCTAAATTTGAAGAATAGAAGGTGATTTGGAGGTGGATTGGAGTGCCCATTCTCTATTTTACTCTCCAAATATAGAGAATGGAGAGTAAAATAGAGGTGGGTTGGAGATGGTCACCCACCTCTATTTTACTCTCCATTCTCTATATTTGGAGAGTAATATAGAGAATGGGCTATCCACAATACCCTCCATTTCACTCTTTATTCTCCACTTATAGAGAGGTAAATATTAGTTCTCCAAATTTGAAGAACTGTTATTCACACTCTTTATTTTACTTTTTGATTATTTTATTATTATTTCTATTATTTAATAATTAACACATTATTTTTCATATAAGACCATTAATTAAATATTTACTATACGTAATTTTTTTTAAATGTAATATAATATTTTTTAAAAATATATTATTTAATATATACTAATTTCATCTCGAATTAATAATAATTTAATTTCTTTTTAAATTTTCGTCACTATAATATGATTTGATATTATTATTAATTGTCACTATGTTGAATGCACAAAATTAAAATGATAAGATGAAAATTTTAATTTAAAAATACAATACATAACATAATAATTTAAATACGAGATAAAATAATACATAAATAATAATTTTATAACAACAATTTTGGTTGAAATTTATGTCCACTAATTTGTATATTATATAATATTTATTTGCAATTTATGTTATTTAGAAATTTAGAATAAAATAAAATTTTAAATTAAATAAAATTAAAATTTATATTACATGAAAATTATACAAAGTAATTATTTGAAAAAAAAAAGAAAATTATATTATTAAATAAGAAAATAAGAATGAAATAAAATTACAATATAATATTGAAGAGAGAAAAAAAATTAATTTTTAGAGAGTAAAATAGAGAATTGAGTTGGAGATGAATGTCTGAAAAAATAGAGAACTCTATATTTGAAGAGTAAAATAGAGAATAAGGTTGGAGATGCCCAAAGCAACATAACAAAAGAGAGATTTCCAAAATAGTTTCTTATTTTTGAGCTAAGACTCAAAGTGCTCTCTTTTCAATACATAGCATTAATGAACTCTCATTATTGTAATATTGATGCATTTTTAATTAGAGTTAGGCATGGTATGGTATATATCGAATCCTCATATTATATCGAAATTTTTGATATAGTGATTTTGGTATGATATATGATATACATTTTAATTTTTTTTGTTATTCGGTATGATATTTGGTATTTAAAGATGACATACTGAAATATTGAATATCATACCAAAGTGTGTGTATATATATATATATATATATATATATATATATTATTAAGAAGATACTAACAAATATGCAACATAGTATTGTATAAAGTATAAACTAAATGTTTCAAAGTTGAAGCCGTGACTACTCTATTTTTTTTATTGAAATGTATTTTAAACGTAATTAATTAACAAAAGGAGTTGTTTATACTTATTTTTCCAACATATATTTTTACATGTGTAATGTGTTAGTATGATACAATTGAAATATTTTTGAATTGTCAAAGTCATAATATTTTATTATACGAGTATATATTAGTCGAAGTTGAACAAACTATGTTACCGATTTACCATACCGCTAAATATCGAAACCAAACTTAAAAATATCGAACCATACCAAATGAATTTGGATTGGTAATAATATAATAATTTTAAAAATTAAATATCAAAATTACGATTACAAAGTTTTAAACACCATACCATGCCATGTCCCCTACTTTTAATCTTTTCCCAAATTTTAATCTATTTTTCAACTTTAATTTTATCCACAATTTAAAGTATGGAATAATCAATCATCTTTCTTTATAATATATATATATAGTAGAAACAATATCTCTCTAAGAGAAAATAAGAAGAGTTGTACGTATTCGTTATTTTGTATAATCTAAATATCATTGCAATTAATTAAGTTAAGAATCTATCTTTATTTTTTTAAACTAGACAAATAATATTTCAAGGAAATAAATTTTGTACTTAAACATATGAAATCTGAAGGCTAGTTTGAGGGTGGATCAAAATTGTATATTTATAATATGAAGGACTATTATTGCTTCAAAAAAATAAAAAAATAAGGATGATTTTGAGTTTAAAGTAAAAAATAAGGGACTATTTTAAGTTTTTTTTTTCTCTAATAAAAAACTCCAAAACCCTCCCTGAGCCGTCAAAAGTGAACTCCGGTGAGAATTGAGCTCCGTCGATGACTTTCTTAGATGCAACAGCAGCTTTATCTCTCCGGTAAACATGGATAAATCTTAGTGAGGAGAAGGAGTGCGGGCTAGGATTTCGCTTTATTCTTCAAAAGATAAGCATCTGTGCGGTTTTTACTTCTATTTTCGGGTCAGGTATGTTCGAGCTTCTGTGACTCTTCTTTGATTGACAGATTTTAGTTTTTGGTGAAGTTCAGCAATCTAAAATGTTGAGAATTATCATTATGAATAGGCCAATTTTAATTTCTAGCTATGAAAATTGCTCTGTAAGTGTAGAGTTTAGTTTTGGGCTCTTGATTAGATCAAGTGGATTGAGCACTTGGAAGTTGGAACTACTCTTTCTATTTTTTGATAACCGTGGTGTTCGGCTTAGTTTGTGTGCACTTCAACTACTTCCATGAGATTCCTGCCACCTGCAAGAGGTAACTATGTCCACGAAGGCTAGAACAGATAGGAAGAAAGTACTATAGTTTTGTCTCTGCTGGGAATTGAGGAATTGAACCTGAGACATCATGGTGTTCAACTCACTTCATTGACTACTAGGCCCACACATAATCGTTCCAGAAATCACATGTTTGTGGAGAATTTGACCTTATTTGAAATATTCTAATTAACTACCCTTGTTATTATCATTTGCTTATAGCTAGAAGCCTTAGAACAGAGTTTAATGTTCAAGATACTTGATAATGCAAAGTTTTTTAGGGACTAACACAGGCCCGTTTATGGAATAAACTTGCATCTAATTTCAGGCAAAAAATAGAGGAAAACTAGAAAAAATGAAAGGAGAAAAGTGGTTGAAATGATAATTACTGGACTAAAAAACATGAATTTCGTAGGTAAGTTGTGTGAACGTTTTAACAGATAAGCATACATCTACATTCAGTTTTAAGAAATAGCTAAAAGAAAATAAAAGATTAAGAGGAGAATCATTTCCATGCACTCTTAATGAATTGTTTTTCCCAATTTGGGAAGTTTGTGGGGGCAGCGGGGAGGTGTAGCCTTCCATGAAGCCCATTGTATGGTTCTACAAACATGGACAACATGCACGAGCTTTCCCAGGATGATTTGGACTGAAAGACAATGTAAATAAGCCAACAATCATAAAAACTACTGCCACTATTTAGATTTCATTGGTAGAACTGCTTCTCTAATCTCTACCAATGGAATGGATTATCCTTCTGTGAAAGATAGCTTCAAACACTTCCCCTAAAACTGTAGATCATACCAAAAGTATAAATGAGTTCTGTAACTTAGAGTAACAGCTTCCTCCCTTAGCATTTATAAATGTCGTAAATGAGGTGATGAGATAAATTGGCGTAATGAGTATAACTCATTGCAGCTCTTCTCCAAATTTAAAGAATGAGACGTCAGAGCAAAAATGATGATTTTTCTCTTTCAAAATGATATAGAAAGGATATTGTCGAAGTACTTACATAACAAAGTGTGTTGAGAAGCCTATGACACATTATGCTTTTACTCTTTGGTTTGTGAACTATCTCAAGATGTGGAAGTTCAATTATCCATTATTGATAGACGATTTGCATTAAGATCTCTAGTGAACGTTATTGCTGTAATCTTTCATTCTTGAGTTATAGGTGTTATGATATGCTACTAAAAGTTAAATCGTTGTGTATATCCAATGTGCTACAACAGTTGAGACATTGTGTGTTAGGATACAGTAATAGTAAATACTAAAACTGAAATATGTGTTATCTTTGTGCTTATATTTCTGTTTATGTTCGTTATGTGTAAACTCTTTTCATATTGTTATGACTTTGAAAAAGATCATCTTACAGCTTTCTCTAGAATCTGTATTCCTTTTCTCCTAACAGCTCATACGACAATCGTAGGGCAACAAACATTATTAATTCATTATGAAAAAAGTCTTGAAAACCTCAAAAAGTAGAAGAACTTTCTGTATACATGTCGAGTAGTGGTTTGTATCTTTTTTGTATGTCTGCTAAAAGCTTCAGAATAAAGAGTCATTAATAAGTGAGTTTTAATTGTCTAACTGGCCTTTGGAAATTTCAAGTTAGAATTCTAATATTCACTCTTATTAATATATATTTTCCTTTTAGGTCCTTGACTAACGACATATTTCAAACATAGTCTGTGTCATTCTCAAGTAGCTATAGAGGAATGGCTTCATCAGCACAGACACCAGCTCTTGACAAGCCTAACCCTGCCGAAGATTGGACTGTTGTATTGCCTCGTCGTGGAAAACAGAAAAGAAATTTTCATAAAGTTATCATTCACGAACGACAAAAACAAGAACAACTGTGGACTCCAGCAGATATTGAGACCAATCCAGAGAGAGAATCTAAATTGATGCAGAAAATACAAACCTGCATTAGGAAACTCGAGAGCTCTTCCTTCTGGTTGAAATTTTTGGATCAGTTACAAACCCCTGAAATATTTGATAGGTTTCTAAAAGCTGTGGGCTCAGAAGGAAAGATGCAGATGGTAATATATGGAATTGGTAGCATAGAATCGTATGAGCCTCCTAGATTACAGCTTAGTCTTGCAATCTTAATGAAAAGAATGTTTAGTTGGATTGGGGAGGTAGAGGTATTTGATCCAGTGATCTCTCTGGCAGAATCTAGGGTGCTGACAGCTCTCGGTTGTTCTGTCCTAACAGTCAATGAACAGGGTCGACGGCAAGCTTTAAGACCTACGATGTTCTTCATGCCACATTGTGATGCTGAACTATATGAGAATCTTCTAGAGGCAAATTGGAGGCATGATCTATTGAGTAATATGACACTGTTTGGAAACAGTTTTGAGGCGTATGAGCAACACGTGTCAGAGTGCAAAATCCTTAAACTTGCTGATTCTAGGAAGCATATCCTAGCAATCAGGCAGTTTGTAAAAGAGCTTCCCATTGATTCTAGGAAGCAAATTGTAGCAATCAGGCAGTTTGTAAAAGAGCGTTCCATTGATCCTTTTTCAGATGATTTATTTCGTTCCTTCCATGGTTCAAGTTGGCATTTTTTCGACATTGATTCTCATTCAAATTTATGTGATGCTAAACCATGAACTCTTGTTTTCTGGATTGTACTCTTCATTGGAACTGAATATCAAATTTTTATTATGATATAGGAAAATGTTCTTTCTTTACCTTTTGTTTCCTCAGATTAATGCCTGTTGTGGAGCTCCCAACCTTACTGATGCATGACTGTTTCTTTATGTGCATGCCTTTTAACATGCCTCTTTTATCCTTTATGAACCTTGACGTTTCCAAATGAGATTTATTCACGATTTTATAAAAAGTCGGGAGTTAAACATCCTATTTGCTTTACAATCCACTAACTGCCTGTTTTCTGATGTTTCAAAAGCAATGCTTGAATCTCACACATGGAGGTGGGAGAGTTGATGCTTTGTGTTCTTTTACTTCGCGCTTCCTTATGACTATCTGAAAAAGAGGTGAGTGATAGTACATATCTAGCTTATGCATCAAATGTTGTAAATTACTTGAACTAAGGGTCTATCAGAAATAACCTCTCTAGCTTTTCCAGATACCACTTGTGGAATTACATTGGTATGTTGTAAATGCTGTCATGATGAATTGAATGGTAACATCTTTTTGAAAAATAAATGCTATGGTTGCTGTAGTCAACAGACATGTCTGGGATCAGCTGTAGGTGGGATTTGATTATTTCAATTTCATTTGAATTGTAATTTGACCTTCTATTCCATCTGGACTAGAGATGGAATATGTATTATAGAGAGTTACTTGTACTTGTCCTTTAAGTGATTTGATTATGTACTTGCGGTTCGGTTTTGTACACCCCTAACTACTAGATACTCCATGCTTCTTTCACTTCTATATTATTCCAAATCCATGCCTCTTTTGCATTAAAGATGAAATATTTTTTTGTTTCCTAATGAATTTTTCTCACATTTTTACATTATTTTTTTACTATACGTGGAGCATGCTTGGTGAAGATACTAATAAGTCACAATATATTATGGTTTGTTTAGCTTTAAGTCACAATTGGCACCAAGTATATGATGTCTTTAATAATAGTTTCCAAAACAGGTCTGCACATTTGCCCCTTTTTAGTTAAAATTACTGCTGTTAAAGGCACATAATAAACTAAATTATAGTATAAAGAATTCTTACACAGTTTTTTCCAGTTATATTAGATTAATAACTAGTCGTGATTATCGAGCAATATATAGTATAGAGAGTTACTTCTAATTGTCCTTGAAGTGATTTGATTATGTAAATATCCCTAACAGAAGAAGGTAATGAATCAAATGTACGAAGGAGAGGAAAAAAAACGCGGAAGATATATATATTTTCAAGCTTGCAAACAGAAAGCAAAATAGTACTGCAACAAACACATACATAATTTTCAAAACACTCAAAACCATAATCACCACTCAAATATGAAATCACAAAATGAGGGAAATGCAACACTCTAAAGCACAAACAATACATGACTCCAAGTAGTACTATACGACGATGACTTTACTATAGAAACCAGGAATTAACTTTATATTTCCAAAAATGTGTTCTTGATTTTGTTAAGCCTCTTGACTACATCCTTCATGGTTATCCTTGACTCTGGCCTTTCCTTTGCGCAATCTAAAGCCAATTCTATCAAGGAAATTATGCAGATTTCACTTTTAGAAGTGATTTGTTCTTCCTCAGGAAAAAGATTGGCATCCACAACTTCTATGATAGTTCTTGGAAATGCTCGCCTTATCCACTCCCTCAAGCCAAGATTTTCGTTGAATATCTCTGCATCAGTTGGTCTTCTTGTTGCCAAAACCTCCATTAGCATGATACCATAGCTGTAGACATCGCCACTAGTGGACACTATTCCTTCCAAGCCATATTCTTAAAAGAACAAAAGATGAAAAAAAATTATTCATAAAATATAACAACAAAACAAACAAACACTTGCTTTTTATTTAGATTTTGGAAGGGCTTAGTTATAATTTGTGTAGTAAAAAAGAAAGAGACTAGTATACCTGGTGCAATATATCCGAGAGTGCCCAATGTCTCGGTATGTGCCATGGACTTGCTTACAGCTAAGATTTTGGAAATTCCAAAATCACCAACATGTGCCACCATTTCTTCATCCAAAAGAACGTTGGCTGGCTTTAGATCGCAATGAACAATATGAGTGTGATGTCTGTGATGCATATATTCAACAGCCACAGCCACATCAAACATTATGGAAACCCTTTGAAGAAGGTTCAAGTGGCAATCTTCTTTGTACAACCAATTCTCAAGACTCCCGTTTGGCATATACTGCAGGACAAAGGCTCTAATGTATTCGCTAGAGCAAGTAGTAATCACCGATACAAGATTTCTGTGCCTAACATTTCTCATCACTTCACATTCAGTATCAAACCTCTTGCATACTTCCTCATTTTGCAAATCTAGAACCTTTATTGCAACCACAACTCCGCTAGATAATGTACCTTTGTACACTGAGCCAGAACCTCCCACACCAATTAAATTTGATCCATCAAAATAATTTGTAGCTCTTTGAATCTCGTGATAGGATACTAATTGATGTGTCTTGACCTCTGGTACCTTTTCCACGTCTTTGGACTTTCTCTTCTTTTGTCGTTTCATTATCCAAATTGAAGCAAACAAGGATATTAGAAAGGATGAAGTAACCACTGGAATAACAATTTTTAGCACAAGCTTCTTAAACTTTGATTGATGTCCAAGATTAGTGACAGCACAAGCAGGAACATCCAATATGTGCATTCCACATAGGCCTTTGTTACCAAGAAATGATTGCAAAGTGGAATTTGCAAACACACCACCACTAGGTATTACACCTTCTAATTCATTAAGTGAAACATTGATGGCTTTAAGATACAAGAGTTTTTCCAAAGACTTAGGAATAGTACCTGACAAGGCATTTACAGATAAATCCATGAATACTAAGCTTATCAAGTTGGCAAAGGATAATGGAATTTGGCCTGAAAATGAATTGTTTGACAGGTCAAGAGAATCCAGGTTTTGGAGTTCCCCCAAACTGTTTGGTATCTTGCCAGAAAAGTGGTTATGGGAAAGATATAGACCTAAAATGGCTTTCAGTTCTCCAACATCTAGTGGAACTTCTCCCTCTATAGAATTCCGTGACACGTCTAGGTGGAGAAGGCCACTCATCTTCCAAAAACTCAAAGGAAGCTTTGATGCAAAATTGTTATTTCTCAACGAAATATATTGTAGCATGCTAAAATTTCCTATACATGCTGGAATTAACCCAAAGAGCTCATTACCATCTAGAACTAATTGAACCAAATTAGATAAACCACATACCGCCTCTGGAATATGTCCCTGCAATTTATTGTTATTTAGATATAGTCCTTGGAGTTGTTTAAGCTTACCAATCTCAGAAGGGATACTTCCCACCAAGTTGTTTCCATGAAGGCTTAGAGATATTAGACTGCTCATGTTGCCTATACCTGTGGGGATGGGGCCATTGATGTATGCATCTATTATTGCAAAGAATTCAATAGTAGATGAAAGATTTCCGATAGTATCGGGCAGAGTACCATTCAACATATTGGTACTCATATCTAGATCTCGCAACATCCTACAGTTTGCCAAAGAATTGAAGAATCGCAACTCATGCTCTCTTGGTTCATTGGTAAGTTGATTATGATCTAGGTGCAGCATTTGCAGCTCACGAAGATTTCCCAAATTAGTTGGAATACTGCCACTGAAAAAGTTGCTATTTAGCTCCAATGTCTTAAGTTTGGAAGCATTTGTGATGTGCGGAGGAATTTCCCCTTCGAGATGATTTTTAGACAAGTAAAGTCTTTCAAGGTTCGGAAGATGAAGACCTGTAGTGGCTGGAATTCTACCCGAGAGGTTGTTGAAATTGAAAGCAATCATTTCCAAAGAGGACATGTTAAAAATAGCCTTCGGAATTTAACCAATAATATTATAATTCTGGCCAAGGTTTAATTGCCTCAAATTTGACAGCTTCTCTAATTCTGGAGGAACTTGCCCCCCTATGCAATTGTTTGGACAATCCAGATATTCAAGAGTGGATATATTTCCCAATGAAGCAGGAAAAGTCCCACTTAGTGCATTAGCTCCGATATAGAACACCTCGAGCTTAGCTAAACAACCAATATTTTTGGGTATATCTCCAGTTATCTTGTTGTAAGATATGGACAACCCTTTGAGCTCTGTGAGTTGGCAAATGTTGGAAGGAATGCAACCAGAAATTTGGTTCTTAGATACACTTAGATACTTCAGATTTGACACGATACTCCCTTCATCAAGCAAGAGAGGACCAGAAAGGCTATTGAGTGCCAGATATGTGGTAAGTAGCGATGATATATTAAACAGTGTTGCAGGAATGGGACCGGTTAATTGGTTATCAACCAAGGACAACTCTACAAGTTGGCTAAGATTACCAATCTCCTTCGGAATGTTGCCGTTGATTCTATTACCGTACAAGCTGAAGTTCATCAACTTCGTGGCATTTCCAATAGAAGGCGGGATTATGCCTGTGAGACTATTGTTGGTGAGATACAAGACCTTGAGTTCTGGTACATACCATGACCCATTCCACATTTCACCACTGAGTTTATTGAAAGCCAATGAAATCTTTTGAACTTTCTGGTGTTGAAATAGGCTTGTTGGAATACTTCCTTCGAGCTGATTGTTTTGAATATTAATGACTCTCAAGCGAGGCAAGTGGCCAATGCCATAAGGGATGGCGCCATGAAAGTTGTTGTTCCCAAGATTAAGCTCTCCGAGAAAGGACAAATTAGCCAAAGACGGGGAAATTGTACCTTGAAGATTCAAACTAGAAAGATCCAAGGCTACAACCCTTTGCCTTTTTGGACTGCAACTGACACCAAACCAAGAGCAAAAAGAAGTATTGTTGGTCCAATTATTGGCCAAAAAATGAATAGGACTTGTAATAAGATTTCGGAAAGCTAGTAAAGCTTCTTTGTCTGTCACATTTGAGTTAGCAAATGATACAGAAAATTGAACTAGAAAGAGAAGAATCAATAAGAAAATGTGCTTCTCCATGCTGTTACTATGCTTCAAAAAGGAATTTGGACAGTGAGATATGTATGTGTGGTATTTTGACAGATCAAAGTTACACCATTATATAGCACCAAAACAAATAAAATGCTGAAAAGAATAGACTATAATTTCCAAAATGTGAAAACAGATTAATACTGAGGAGGAAAATAAGTAGTAATAAGGGGTGTGTTAAGCATGGAGGATGTTAAATTAGGTCTTAGGCCTAACTCACACCCCAAAAGCTAGCTCAAAGGGATGAGGATTGCCCAAGCCTTATAAGGAGTCCACCCATCTCATTAACCACCGATGTGGGACTTTTGTCATTCTTTAACAGAGGACAACATTTTCCACAATATATTTTCTATTTTCTCATGTCTAGTCCGTCAAAATATTTTTGCTAGGAAAACAAGTTTTGAGTGACTTTTCAAGTTTATTGTCTCCTCCCCACTCACTATCGAGATGCGAAAGAATCCATATTCCCTATCTCGTATTCTCTACCCCTAAATTAGCCTAATTAGATTCAATTCAACCGTCCAACCGTCAACCCCCAACCCTTGACCATCTCACCCCGCTAGCCGGAACCTCACTCCCTATCCCACATTCCACCTATTATGACATAATACATAAACGTGCCTTTTAACTTGGCCTCAACTTACATTTGTGCTCTGCAACTTTGGATGTGCACAAGTAGGCAATTAAACTTTTATAAAGTTCAACAGGACGTCATGTAGGACCACAATTTTTCATGTAGGACGTCAGGTAGGACATGTGTGTCTACTTATTCAATTATATACAAATTCAACTACATACTTGTGCACACCCAAAGTTGAAGGGTATAGATGCCAGTTGATGCCAAATTAAAGGGTATTTTTATGTATTATGCCCCCATAATATTTTGCTTGATTAACTTACAAATTATCTTGAGATAACAGTTTTTTGCTTATTTACCAAATACTAAAAAATAAGTAAGAAATCCACTTGTTTTTTCTAGAACATATTTTCTAAGAAAACATTTTCCTTCCTATCAAAAACACCCAAGATTAATGTGAAAACAGATTAGTACCGAGGAAAAAAGAAAAAAGAATCTGTCCATTTTTCCTTCATAGTTGACATTAGTTGGGCTGTGTATCACAAAATGGGCTAAAAGTCAGCTATTAATTTTCTTTATATTGTTAAGGGCCAAGTCAATAGGAGTCAATCTTTCAAGTCAAGCTTATAAGGCTATGTTACACAAAACAGAGAAAATATTCTCAAACTTATTTGGCACTTAGGCGTAGTTATTATAGGGTTGTTAAAATAGATTATTTTTTCTTTTTTCTTTCTTTTAGTATACTCAGCTAAAAACACACCGGACACCAGTGGAAAACAAAACAAAAAAAAAGATCATATTTTTGTAGCATAGTTTGGTCTTATAGAAACATCAAAGAAGAAATAACGGCAAAATACATAGATAGACACTTAAACTTGGTCTTAACTGTTAGTTGAGCATTCCAACTTATCAAATGATCATATAGACACCTCAACTCGACCCAAAAATGTCTCACAGACACCCGAAGCTAGCTGACCAGATGTGTGCATTTCAATCGCCAATCATGCGTCAAATGAATGAATTCCGATGTGATTGACAAGCAGCGGGGCATGGAACGGAGGTTGAATCAATCATCAGAAGAAGAATTAGGCCAAAAATTAGGATACATTCAAGGAAAATTAAACTTCCATCGAAGAGAAGCAAACGAAAGGCTAATGACACATGTCTAATACAAGAAAAGAGATCTTCTTCCTTATTTTAACCATAATTCCATAACAGCAACCCAACCTCCATTCTTCATCTCCTCCCCGCTCATTTTCAACCCGACCCTGGATTTTCCATCACCATGTAATTGCACCCTCACAGTGTCGGCCATCTCCAAAATCACCATCAGCACTGCTTCCATGTGATTGAGCTTCATTTTCAAAGCAATCTGTTTTATCACTTCGTATTTTCAAATTTTATAACACAACTTAGATTTTGTACAGCCTGAAAGATCTCATCTTTTTTCTCAAATGTAGGAGAAGATGTTAATGTGTAGATGAGTTAATATATTCGATCGATTAGAACACCCTACTAATAAGTTGGAGTGCTTTAAGTGTCTATCTATGTATTCTGCCACAAAATAACTGTACAATTTCAAGCTGTGTCTAACTGTCTATAAACAAAAGCATTTGCTTCATTGGTAGCCTGCTTTAAGACGTCTCTCAGTCTGCAGTTGTCTTCCCTTGCTGCTTTAGTTGTTTGTCCCGCTGATTTAAGGGACTCGTTGAGCTTAGTAGCTCGTCCCATTTCTTCAGCTTCGCTTATACACGCGATGAGGCTTGTCTCTTTCCAATTCCAAGCCAATAGTGACTCCTCTGTCTCTAGTTTCAATCTCTGATCTGCTGTATTCCTGTGTAGTTTTGTTTCCTTTTTTGCTTTATCCAATAACATTTTATTTCTGGCCTTAGTACATTTGATCATCTCTTTCATATTTGCAGCCTCTTTTTTCACTAAGTTTCTCTTCCATCTCAGATTCTTCGGAAGCAACTTCCTTCAACGCTAATGCTAAATCATTTAAGGCCTTTGTGCTCTTTTCTTTCGCCTCCTTTGCCAACTTCATTTCATTTTTTAGCAAACTCATCTCATTATCCAAAGCTGTGGCTCCTCATTTCAACAATGATTAAGATAACTGCCATTTTTCTTGGAACATGTGTCCAAGATTCAATCTTTTCATGACGAGAAGCAATCTCGAGCTTGAATTCTTCGAGTTCAATCTTGATTTGTTTAAACGGCCTTGTGTTTTTGACTCTGAACTTCTTGTTCTCCAATTCATCTTCTAATTCTTGAATTCACCTAAAATCAGAAAACCAATACGTCGCACGAATCTTGAATTCTTTTAAATGACTAAGTCCCTCTTTTCACTTTTCCTAAACTAGGATCTTTCTTTATCAACTTGAGATCACATTTTTTCGCCTTTTCGAGCTCCAACTTCAAGGAGTTGATACTCTTATCTTTATCCCAAAAGCTAGCTCACGAGAGAAGAGTTGTCCAAGTCCAGAGACCACCCATCTCATTAACCATCGATGTAGACCCCCAAATTAAAAGTTGTCCACGCACCAGATGTTCAACATTGGGCGTGAGATGGGGTCCCTGGGCTTGGGTGGGCTGTTGAAGAATGAATAAAGGTCCATATTGATGATTACTGAGATGAGAGGTCTCTTTATAAGACTTGAACAATCAGTCTCCCTCATGAGCTAACTTTTGAGGGCGTAAATTAGGTCCAAGACCTAATATTACTCAAACAGAATTATTATGTGGAGATTACAAACTAAAAGATAAACTAGAATGAGTATCATTTTTATCGTTTCAGTTTTATCGGATGTCCTATAAAAGGGTTAAGAAAATCATAATCCATAAATTAAGGAGATAAGCTTCTAGAGAGATAAAAGTGTGACACAAATAAAATCTTAATTCTTTTCCATCCTATACAACTCAATAAACTCAAGGTACAAAAACATAATTTTTGTACCATTGACTCATAAACAAATTATTTTCCCACTACCAAAGCATTTTTTGCACCTTTTTTAAAACAACAGTTTTTCTTATATTATATAGATTTTTTCTTATATATATATATATATATATATATAACTTCTTCATTGAAAGCTACCCCCGCCACCCTGCATCTTCTTAAACATTTTTATCAAAATTTCTACCTATATCTTTATCCTCTCATCATTCATATCTGATTTTGATCTTCAGAAAATTAAATTTATCTTTCAACTATTTCTATCATATATCTTATATTTATTTCATTCCCAGGATTGATTAATTGTTTTTTATCGCTCGCCTTCATATCGATTCTCCTTAACATACATTGACCTTTTGGTTTTGTAGGCCACGTACAATCTTTTTTTCTTTTTAGGTTTATGTTTGTTTTACGAGAGCTCTTCATTTCTACACATACGAGATCTAAAAAGACCAGGTGATCAAGAGCTCTTCATTTCTACACATACGAGATCTAAAAAGACCAGGTGATCAAGAGATCTTCATTTCTACACATACAAAATCTGAAAAGACCATATGGTCAAAATATCATCATTTCTACACATACGAGATTTGAAAATACCAGGTGGTCAAAAGATCTTCATTTCTACACATATGAGATTTTAAAAGACCAGGTGGTCAAGAGATCTTCATTTCTACACATACGAGATCTAAAAATACCAGGTGGTCAAGAGATCTTAATTCCTCGGTCCCTTTGGATCATTGATATATTATTATTAAGAAATAACCCCGGAATTAGAGAGAGTTTTTTACTTTATGATGGATCATCATCATCATAGGGAAAATGAATTTGAATATCAAGAAATCCAGAAAGCAAAGACATCATCAAAATTCAATAGATCAAGGACTATACACAGCCCGAGAAACTCGATTGAATTCCCTGAAAAGCCCTTGTATCTCTACCCTTCACCTCATTCGATCGAACGTAATGGCTCCATTAAAAAGCTTCATTGCTCACCTTTAGGATCCATGGTTGGAACTTCATTCAAAGGAAAAGTGAAAAAGTTGTATTCAATTTTCGATTCTCGTAAGGAAAATCATCGATCCTCGATTCCAAAACCTCAAACCAAGCATTCAAAGCCATTGATTTCAAACACTCTGTTATTGCCTGGAACAGTGGATCGTGTGGTAATTTACTTCACGAGTATACGTGGAATTCGAAGGACATTCGAGGATTGTTACACAGTGAAAATGATATTAGGAAGCTATCGTGTTAAAGTCGATGAAAGAGATGTCTCGATGCACATCGCGTATAGGAAGGAATTACAAAATGTTATAGGTGAGAAGAACAACAATAGTATTGTGACATTGCCACAAGTTTTTATCAAAGGGAAATACATTGGAGGTGCTGAATTGATCGAGCAATTGAATGAAATTGGTGAATTACCGAAGTTATTAAGAGGGATTCCTTTAAGGCCAATTGGTTATATTTGTGAAGGTTGTGGGGATGTACGATTCTTGCCTTGCTCGAATTGCGATGGTAGCAGGAAATTTTTCGATGAAGATGAAGGACAAGTTAGGAGGTGTCTTATTTGTAATGAGAATGGATTGATTCGATGCACACTTTGTTGTTCTTGATCTATAGAAATTTGTGAGATGTATCTATAACATGTTCGTTGTCTCCTTATAGTTTTTTAGTTGGTGAGGCAAAGACGAATTCAGAATTTTAAATGAGTGAGGTAAATGCAACTCTTTTGTATCAACAGGTGGCGTTTAATTAATATAAACTATCTATTACTATATATTTTGAAATTGTATGGTTGTGTAGAATGTAGATAGTGTGCAATGTAGTTTCCTGATCTTGATATCTTTGAAGTTTGAAGTAAAGGAAAAAGGTTTTTATGTACGGGAAAAAGTTCAAAATTGCTCTTGAACTAATATGAAATAGAACAGTTTTCTCCTCCGTTAATAGTTGGGGTTAGGTGCATTCGCCATTACAAAAGTGGCGTATTTGTATGTATTTTCAAAATATAGCAAACGGAGTCTTTACAACACTTTATCTGGTTGTTGTATGATACCCTGAGTGTTTGTGGCTGACGATCAACAAACTTTTGCATAGAGTTATCTTATTTATGAATACTTAGCGACTAGAAAGATGTTATTCTTTAACATTTGTATTCACAATCTTAGACTTGCAAAATATAGAGCATCAAAATAAAACCATAAAATCACGAAAATTTATAAATCTTGACATGATTGAAAATCTCACAAAACCAGAATGGATACAAACTGACTTTGGATATAGTATTAATTTGTCAAGAATAATATATCCAAATTTACGGAGGAGAGAAAATTTACCACAATGCTAACATAGTGGTGTAATACATAAACAAACACTTACAGTTTACCTCAATTGGCAGGTAATCACTCGACTGTTTTGAATTATTTTTTCTTGAACTGAGGGTCTATAGTTCAGAAAAAAAATCTCTACACCGAAACTCCAAAAGTTGGAATACTTTAGGTTAGGCGTGTTTTTGATCATTAGCTACGTAATAAACTAAAAAAATTTTATTTAACCTTTGGCTGCTAAAAAAAAGTGCGGTTTTTGATATTATCGTCGACAAACAGAGCTTTGCTAGGGTTTATCCATGGAAGCAATGATGGTACCTTGGTCCGATCTTCCGAAAGAACTCGTTAGTATTGTGTATAAGGGGAACTTTTATGCTGTTGATATTTATGGAGAGACCATAAAGTATGATCCCTCATCGTTTAACGAGACCAACGTATCTTCCAGCATAAAGATGTTATCTTCAATCTTATTTAAGAGGTGGGGTAGTAAGAAACGACTGGTGGAATCAGGTGGGGGAGTTGTTTCTAGTTGATATGTTTTTAGATAGTGATGTTAAGACGGAGTTGCATGGTTCTCAACCTTCATGGAAATGTCCCAAGGAAATTATGATTTACCGGCTTGATGAAGAACAACATGAGTGGATTGCAGTGCATACATTGGGTGATCGAATTTTCTTTGCTGGTGATGCCTGTTGTTTCTCTGTTTCTTCATTAGACTTTGGTGATCAATGCAGAGGAAACTGCATTTACTATGAGAATGGAGGTATAATTGTGGACATCTTGGGAGAGTTACCGCCAAAGTACTACGATGACGACTTTGAAGATGATTGTGTATGTGGTGGTAGTTTTAGGTATCCATTTCCTGTTGATGGTGGTGTAAATTTTAGCAGTGATGATGATGATGATGATGACGACGATGATGATCCAATAACTTGCAGATTACTCAAGAGATATAAACCACATTAGGCAAGTGCAGTGCGATGAGCTCAATTGAGAAGGTACTTAAATTTTTTGATAATCATTATAAAATCTTGAGTTCCAACAAGATCAAAATCAATACACGCAAAAAAAATCAGAATC